GATGCGCGTGTCTGACTGGATTCGATTGGGACAAGAAAGGGCGCCCCTGGCACCAGTTCGAGTACGACTTGCTGCCACCATGGAGGCCCTTCTGGTCGCGTTTCTTCTCTGCTGCGTGGCGCCCGGGGTGCGGGCCGGCCTGCCCGTCGTGGACTCGGCCGCGCCCCCCGAGGCCAGGAGCGCCGCCGCGCTGCTCACGCCGTTCATGGCACCCCAGAAGGCCAACCTCGTTGTTAGGGGCACTTCGCGTTGGACCGGCGCCTTCCTCCGGGAGCTGTCCGCAGATATCCCGCGAGTACTGGGCCCGAGGCCGAGCCACCTCCCCTCTGCATGGAGACACGACAACACCCCGGACACACTTCACATCGACCGGCTTGAGCACGGCCTGATTGCGACGCGACTTGTACACTTCGTGCCCACGGACGACCTGCAGGAGCTGCTCTACGCGATGAAGAACTACCCCGTCATCAATAAAGTCAAGGATATTCGGGTCCTATTCTGGACCACGCTGCTGACCGTGTCCGCCCACCAAGCCAGGGTGCTGCGTCAAATCTTCCGGTTGAACACGTGGCTAGGGGGGCGCCAGCACGCCCTGGCTCTCACCTCTTTCAACGGCAGCACAACCCTCTACAATCTGACCTGCACTCCGTCCGACGCCTGCTTGAGAATGGATGCATCAGTGTTCGAGATGGACAGGTGGTCGCCCGTCCAGCAGCACTGGCGTCTAAGAGCAAACCCATTTTACGAATTTTGCAGTAGTCACCGTTCGATGGACAAGCACCAGGACCTAACCGTGTACCTAGACACGCGGACAGGCTTGACAAATACATCATCGCTAATGGAGCTTACAAAAGTCGCGGTTAATCTAGTCAGTCGAGGCCGTAACCGACGCATAGGATGGCAGAAATCGGTAAATTACCAACGAACAGGGACTAGTCATAGTATTATCCTAGCACTAAAGGAGTGCACTTTAGGCGCGTTCCTCTCGGACGAAGAATTCTTCACCCGGGACGATACATCAGATTTTACTTTTCTACTCGACATGAAGATGGCAGGTTTCGTTGTCATCGTGCCCGCGGGCTACGGCGCCAGCGTCGGCGTCCTGGACGCGGTCACGGTGGAGTTCTCACCAACGCTGTGGTTGGCCACGGGGCTGGCCACGCTGTGCACGGTGGTGGTCTTAAAGTACACCAGGCGGCAGGACGTCAGCAGCGCGGTGTTGCAGGCGCTGGCCCCGATGCTGGGGCAGGCGCCGCCGCCACCCGCCCCGCCCAGGCCTATGCTGGCCGCCTGGCTGCTCGCCTGCGTCGTGCTGACCGCCGCCTACCAGGGCCTGCTGCTGGGCAAGCTGTCCTCGGCCGTACCACGGCGTGACCTGGACAGTCTGCAGGACCTCGAGGACAGCGGGCTGCCCGTGAAAGCAAGAGAATACTTGGTGTACAGTGATATGCTGACCGACAACCTGAACGCCCGGACAGAGCATATACCGTTCTCAGAGATCAAGACGGTCATCAACACGATCGCCACTGCTCGCAATTGCGCCCTTGTTACTGTGAACAACCGACACACTTACAGCTATATGCGGCCCTACATGGTGCCAAAAAAACTGCACGCCATTCGATTGAGTTACTCCCAAGTCGAAATCCTCGCGGTCACCACGAAGGGGTCGCCGCTGGAGGGCCCCCTCGCCACGGCGCAAGGACGCGTCGAGGCCGCGGGTCTGCTGGCGCGCTGGCGCCGCGCCGAGTACGAGCGGGAGTACCAGGACGACGCCAAGAGGCTGGTGTCGCTCCGGGGGCCGAAGTCTATGACGTTGTGGCACCTGCAGCCGGCTTTTGTCGTGCTGGGCGCCGGCAACATGGCGGGCGTGGTGGCCTTTGCCCTCGAGGCGATGTGGGCCTGGCGCGCTCGCTGGGCCGGGAGGAAGGAAAGCTGGGTAGAGGTGTCTTAATGTTTTGCAATTTTTATCAGATGATACCTGAAAAGCCTTTTGACTAAACATAAAGAATAAGAAACTTTAAGGTGTCAGCTAGCTTTTACTCTCGATAAGTACAGAGAACCAAGCGCAGACCAGAA